TCTACACTGCTCAAACTCGCGTTTGAATCGTCAGTGGCAAATAGTTTAAATATAAAAAACGTACTTACAGGCTGTGAATCAGAAGCGCCAGAGTGTCCTTGCAAAGTTGGAACTGCCCCACTTTATAGAAACAGCCTTTGTGTGTAGACGGCATTGTAGGCTACTCTGCCAGAATCAGGAAACAAGTCCTCCATAAAATGTGCTGCACACATCTGAATATTTGGTTTGAACTGTTCTGGAACAGTGTTGTAAATACAACTTAACCACTGATTTCTAGTCGTGTCCTCTTTTGGAAGACCAAACAAAGTAGTTTCGCTTTCATAACAAAACACACAGCGACTCCACAACATGGCAGTGGTGCTGGCGGCAGCAACAATGCTACAGCGAGAATAAAAGTTACACCTTCTTTCTTTGCCTGAACATGCAAATCTTCCCACACAGTGACGTAGACATGTGGGGGCGTGTTAGAACGAGCCGTTTTAGGTAGGCGTGGTTGTTTCTTAAATTTATAAAGAATATCTCTTTGGATTTGAGACTTTAGTCTTTGCAACTTTACAGATCTTCTTTATGCACCAAGAGCTTGTAACACTCCAAAGAGAAAGGAAACATTGAAATCGCATCATATGATCCCTTTAAATGACGTGACCATTTAGCCAATAGAATGTCTAGTACATTTAATTGACAGACTAAGTAGCCAATAGAAGTGTCCATAGTATTTTCCTGACCACACAGTGGGCGTGGTCATCATCAACGGAAATATTTCAGAAGAGGCGTGGTTTGTATACTGTTTTAGGATATAGAGAGTGTTGTTGGATGTTTTCGAGATTTTTACTAGCATAATACAAGAAATAGGAGACATAATCGTTAGCGAGAGGTCGCAAGTACTAATTTAAGCATCGGTTAATCAAGTCGCGTCATTTAAACCGACGCTTAAATCGTTTTTAGAAGGTAAATTTGTTGTAGGTCAAGTAAGGGGATGCTGCTGCAGTCGCTGTCTTGGAGCTCGACACAATCGCTGAATTTTATGTTGCGTTTAGTCGAAATAAGAAGCTTTGCAGTAAGAGAAAACGCCTGCAGGATATGTCAGTCTCGACCGAGTCATTTTCAAATTTAGTGAATTCATATTGCACAACGTTTTTTATTGTTGTCCACACCGCGCGTAGACGCCAGAGCATTTTAGCTTGTATTGTGTTGTTAGTTGAACAACTCCGTAAACCGAGCTGTCTGTGAGCCGAACTTACTAACGTTAACGTTACTCCATTCGCCCAGATTTGTTTTTAGTTGGAAAGTGGCAGTACAACAGTAAAGGTAAGCATTACAATTGATATACACTGTGATACAGTATGTCGTCAGTATCATAAACCATAACGTTAGCTGGTCAGTAGTAGATCAGTTGCTGTTGCTGGATGTAAATAATAGAATGTATTTATTCCTAAACCACTTTGCTCTCTCATAATGCAGTTTTGTCTTGTTTATTATTTTATCAATAAAATGTCCCCACTTTACTGTTTTTTTTTTTACCCCACACGCCCAGGTCGATTTATAAAGTAGGAAGTGCTTAAACGGTTGTTGTTGGGGGACGTGGACAGGCAGATGGGCTGTTACGATTGTCTTACAGTTTTCAGACGTAAAGTCAGCAAATAATTCATAATTTAACGCCGTTTTATGTGTGGTCTTTTTTTGCAATTAATGCCATAAAAACGAAAAGTATGCATTTACTTAAATGAAAATACTATTTTCCTGTTTATACGGCCAATTATGCAGTCCGTACATAAATTTGTTTTTACGTAATGCACTAAGGGGGAGTCGTTTTACTTTGCATGTAAATAAGAAACGCTGCACGCACCCAAATGTTTCCATTTGGGCATCTCCATTACACTGTTTCAATTGAACTCGATACAACTAGTTGCATCAATAAATAGTTTATATTGTAACAGGTTACTCTCACACACAATGAAATAAGAGATATTTGGCTTCTGATAAGTGTGTATGTGTTTTGTTTTCCAGCTATGAAGCTTTTAGAGAATTCCCGTTTTGAGGCATTGAGCTCCCAGCTGTGTGTTGAAACTGGAGATGCTCACATCCTTGGCAGGTATGAACCCTGAAAATAATAGCAAATGCTTTTTCCTTTGAACATTTTTGAACTCTAAGGGTTGTGATTTACAAAAATGTGGGTACCCTGTAACACCTGGGAATATAACAAAATTTAAAGTGTGTTCAGGCTTTGCAAATTCATAAAGAATGAAAAATTTGTATTTTACTCACCCTTATGTCATTCCAAACTTTGACTCTTCAACAACACTTTTATGTAGTGCTCAATGTATATGCATTGATCAAAGTATATATATGAATAAAAGCTTAAATTAAATCTGTTCATCATGTAAAGTGATCATTTATCTTCGGAAGACTAGAATCAAACCACTCTGTTCATATCAAATATTTTTAAAGATCTCATTATGAATTTGTGAATCTTTAAAAAATTTTGTAGAATGAGCTGTCATTGAGGGGACATAAATTTCCTCAGATTTCATTAAAATGCCTTCATTTGTGTTTAGAATATAAAAGGCATAAAGTTTAATGAATGACATAAGGGTGAATAAATGGTGACAGAATTTTCACTTTTAGGTGAACTATCCCTTTAAATAATTTAAATGTCTAGAACCAATGCACAGATTAATGAATATACAGCTCTGAAGTAGGGCTGTGCAATTAATCGCATGCGATTGTCAAGCGCATCTCGTCAGTAAAGCCGGTTAGGCAATCTCGCGTTCATAATCGCAGATGAATCGCATTAGATTATGAACGTGATATTGCCTAGCTTGTCAGTGAACTAACTACTATGTAGTAAATGCCGCTCCATCTGAAAGCAGGTGATGGCGATTTACTACCAATCATGGAAACGGCTTTACTGATGAGATGCGCATGACAATCGCATGCGATTAATTGCACAGCCCTACTCTGAAGTATGTAATTGGGTACAGATGGCTCTCTCTGAGTGCAGACTCTGTAAAAATATTAAAAATCCTTATCCAGTACATGCAAACAACTGGAAAATTCATGGAAATTCATTGGTCAAAAGGAGCAATAACCCTGGATTTAGGTTGTTTTTGTGTCTGAACACAATTATTGTGTTCAGGGGAGTATTCCAAAAAGCAGGTTATGTGACATACCCGGGTATGTTTGAGGATAAGCGAGCGGATAACCTCAGCTTTCGGTTCCAAAATCTGAGGTTGCTTTCAGGGTATGTAAGTAACCATAGCAACTTGCTCTCTGAAGATAACCTGCTCCGGAGCAGGTTATGTTCCAGGGTTAGTTCACTTTAGAGCTATCAGCACACGCGTACTTTCTATAATGTCTAAATTCTAAATTAAAATACATATCTGATATTACTTAATATATAATTGCACTAAGCATGTAAACGACCATTGAACAAAAGAAGAAGAAAGAAACAGTATGGCGCGCTTTTTCTTAGCATCCGTTTCCATAGTGATTTGTCGCTCTGTTGAGAATGTCTTGAGTCTTAACCAGGAACGTACTCTGAGTTGAATTAACTTACTCCCGGACGCGTTTTGGGAACCACATACCTCGAGTAAGCAAGGTTTGGGGTTAATCAACCGAAAGTTCAGGGTTTAGCTGACAGTAAGTTAACCGTGCTTTCTGGAATACACCCCTGGTGTCTGTTCTGGTAAACATCCTGTCACACATCAACACACACATTTTGATTCTTCCTGTGGTTCTTTTATTGTCCAAGCGTCATGTGCATGAGTATTTTAGCTTTTACTCTGCAAAGTGCAAACATTAGCATGTTTCAGCTCAGTGCTTGAACCATCAGAATAAGAAAGTTGCTGAATTATTATAAATGATAGCAAATCTTATCTCATCATGTCAAAAGAGTGTCATTTTAGCAACTGTGTAGTTCAGTAGTTCAAACAACTTCAAATGATGTCACGGTGACGTAAGTGATATTGAATCCAATTTATTTGTTTTTACTAATTGTACACTACTTTTTTCTTTATCTTTCTGATGTTAGGTTTAAAACTAGGCTATATTGTATTGTTTTCTTTCACTTTGTGAATATGTTATGTAAGGATAAGGGGGTCTGATATACCCAGAGTAAAGACGCGATTATTGTACCCGTGACGCAGATTGTAGTGTCCTCTAACACATACCACTGTTGTTATTTAGGGGTGCATGTAAACACAGCTGAGTTTCATATGATCTGCCAGCTTCTTTAGCATTTAATCATGTTATTGGATTAGTGTAGTGTAGAGTACAGTACAGAGAGATCAAATGTGGTATCTCAGAGCACAGATGCCAATACCATTTGTATATCTTTTAGTAGTGCTCACATCAGTGTACTTGTACAAGTTAAAACTAGTGAAGAGGCTAACTAACCAGTGCATGCATATTGCATACCATCTCTATTTACTAACAGACACCATCAGTATCTTGTTACAGCCCTACTTTCAAACTGTCTACTTCAGTGTGACGTGTCTTTCCTCAAACTGATCTTTACACACCAGACGCATACGGTTTATGATACAGTTCAACCTTTGTTCTCCACCATTTGCTTGTTTCTTCCACTGATTTATGGAGCTTTAACACAGGGCTACAGTGTCCCAAATCATATGATTTTCCTCCGCGTCCTGCTACAGCCTTTGCCCTTCACATATAAATAATCATGTCTGTGGACTGTTACTGGGACTGTCTAAAGTTGCACAACCTCTCTTGCATAAGCCAGAAAGATAAACACACACGATATTCCCATGTCCTCCCCCCTCGCTCTACATCCGTGACATTTTAGCCAAGCATAAAAATATAGTTTTGGAAAAACCCAGCAGTTGAGCATTTTTTAAATAGCTTAGATTTTACTGCAATATAAAAAGTTTGTTGTATCTTATATAAATCCCAAACAATATATTATGCTGATATTTGTGTGTGCAATTGTTTGTTTAGTCATGAAATAATTAAATCAATCCCTTTCTTATTCGTTTTCTCTTTTCCTGTCTGTAGGATTGAGAGCTACTCGTGTAAGATGGCTGGTGATGACAAGCACATGTTTAAGCAGTTTTGTCAGGAGGGGGAGCCACATGTTCTTGAAGCTCTGTCACCCCCTCAGTCCAGCAGCGCTCCAAGCCCTAACCTGTAAGCCTTAACACACAACCATAGGTTTCACCTCAGCTATTGTGGGCACCAAGGTTATTTTCGTAAACGAAAACTAAAACTAAGGCTAAAACGATTGATGAAAAAACAATTTCGTAAACTGAAATAAAATAAAAACGTCAAAATAATTGAAAAACTAAAACGAAACTAAACTAACAACAGTTATTGAAAAACTAACTGAAATAAAATAATAATTATCAAAAATAAATAATCGTTTTCGTAATCATTACGTTCTCACCCCTTGGCGGAAAAATATACGAGCTGTGTGGAGGTTTAGGGAAATAGCCTACCTGTAATGGCGCATCACGCTCATGGAGTTATCTGATGGAGAGACGCAAAGCAGTTTAAAGCCTGCACGGGTCCTGTTTGGGTTTGGTGCACCAGCAGTACTTAACAGAACACCCGACCCATTATCTGACAGCAGCACTAATTTAATTCTGTACCAGACCAGACCCGTTGGACAAAGACTGCGAGTCGCGAACCGCGCCCGCATTAAATCTATTACATCAGGTAAGCAAGATTATTTATTTGATCATGTAACACAAGCAATCAAACCAACATTAGGCAATCTAAGTTGGTGCTTTGAAGAAAAACAGACATGCAGCGCAACATGATAATTAACAGAAAAAAAGATGAGAACGCACATCCTTTCTGTAAACAACACAAAACTTTAGCCAAGCATCTTGTGATCACTCTGCCAGGCTTTTGAACAAATGTGCATTGGCTAAATCACATCATGCACACGCTTATAATTCTTTATAAATGAAAAGAACATTCAAATATAAGCCTTTACTGTTAAATGCGATTGCCGTTATTATTGAATTTCATTAGTCCCAGTTTTGATTGATGCACGGCTGTTCACGGAAAAGTGAGCAAGACACCACAGTTACAATATCATGATTATGGTTAAATAAGAAAAGACATATAACCAAATCAGGCTACATTCATACTAAATATCTCAACACACATAATTGGATATGACATTAAGCGCAACTTGTATAGATTAATTTAGTAAAACAGGCTTGACCGCTTTCTTTGGCGTATATTTGTATACTTTTACCATCTAATCAATCTCAGCATGCCTTAATTTTGTGTCGCTATATGTTTGCCTCACTAAGGTTAATTTATGCCTACGTATGTCTTTGGGCTGCGCTCTGGAAGTGATCTGTTAATTCTGCTGAACTTTAAAACTGAAACTAAACTATATAAAAACTAAATAAAAATGTGTTCACAAAATAAAAACTAAAATAAAACTAACAAAAATATTAATGAAACTAATAAAAACTAAACTGAATTTTATAGCAAATTTGAAAACGATATTAAAATAAAACGATTAAAAAAATTCAAAACTATAATAACCTTGGTGGGCACACTACACAATATTTCTCCTGCGCTTTCTTTTAGATTGGGGAAGAGTGGGGAGGATGGAGAAAATCCACTAAGTGATAAGTGTTGCAGGAAGACCTTGTTCTACCTTATCACCACCCTGAACGAGTCGTTCCGGCCTGATTATGACTTCAGTGCTGCCCGTGCCCATGAGTTCAGCCGAGAGCCCAGCGTTAACTGGGTTAGTATGACTGGTTTCCATTGTATCGCGATAATGTTTCTGCTGGGTAAAGAACTTTTTATGTGATGTTATGTTATTAAATGTCAGGTACAAAGGTTTTTAGATGCACTGTCAAGAATTGTTGAGAAAAGTTACAAATTCAAGGCAACATTATGCAATCAGATTTATAAGTTCTGTCAATGATTGTCTTAATTGTCCTAAGTAACACTCCTTTTTTGTCAGTTTTAATTTGTTCACTAATTGTAAAATGCTCAATTCCACCAATAACTTTGTATAGGTAACTACAACGTTCTTGAAAATTTTCAGTTAGTAATCCAGTAAATCAATCATCTTTCAGAAACAATGATATTTGGGATGTAGATTGAAAGGGTTGTATATGAACCTCAACACTTGACACACTAATCTCAAGAATGGTGAAAATCAACAAATGTAGAACAACAAATAACAGTAGTAACAAAACAACAGCAAAATAAAAAAAAACTAATGTCAGCAAACAGCAAAAAAGGTATTCATGTTGCAGTGCATGCTGGGTGCTCAACATTTAACTTGTCAGTAATAATATATCTCGATATGAAATTCTTTGTAACTGGAAAATATGTAGTTTAGTATGATTGTTTCCTAACAGACTGGTTGTGTCCTCCAGGTGGTCGACTCTGTTAACAGCAGCCTTTGTTCTACTGTGGGAGAGCAGTTTAACTCTTTAGGACCAGAACTGTGGAATGCCATTGATCAAGAGATAAACCTGCAGGGCTGTGACATCTATAGGTGTGTGACAAGAAATGATTTCTCCCTCATTAAATGTGTTCTGTACATGTATTTTAATAACAGCCATTGTTGTGTTGTTTGTAGCTACAACCCAGACCTTGACTCTGACCCCTTTGGTGAGGAAGGCAGCCTGTGGTCCTTCAACTACTTCTTTTACAACAAGAAACTTAAACGCATTGTATTTTTCACTTGCCGCTCAGTTAGGTAAGTAATCACTCACTGTACACACATTATAAAAGTCATTTTCTAGCCATTTTCTTTTTTAAACATCATGTTCTTTTCAGTGTCCTCAGTAGTTATGGTTGCAGTGGCCTTGACAATGAGTTGGACATGGAGCTGGATGATGAAGAGGAAGTGGACAGCTTCATGGAAGACAGGTGAGATTGTTTTAATGAAGACATCTTCATAGAATCCATGAGGGCTCAAGTTGTCCTAGACCATTAAAACTGGAAAAAAAACTATTGTGCTTTGTACAATATGTAATAGGTCTGTGAGCCATCTCTATATATGTGTTTGCCATAGTCTTTTAAAAAGGTTTCTGTTCTGTTTTTCAGGTTCCCCCGAGCTCTGTGTGTCTAAAGCTTTCTCAGGGATGTCAACCTGCGCTTCAGCTAAAGGGCCTCGCCGTTAAATTTACACCCAATTTCTTCTTTCCTTTTTTAGAAGAAAAAAAAAAAACTTTCAAAACTTTTATTTTCTGGGGATTTTCTTAAGTGTATGCGTTTAATTTTTACTTCACTGTGGATTGAGGAGAAGAAATAAGTTAATTTTACACCTCCCATTTGCCTCTAAAGATCACAAACTGTGGCTGAGAGGAATTCCAGGAGAGCTGCTTGGACAAGGTTTGACAAGGACTCGTTTAAGCATTGGCTGAGACAAACAAAAACCACTGGAAACCAGCTCATCCTAGGAGTGAATGAAAGTCACCAGCGTTTTGACAGTGGAGAATATGAACACACTTTCGAATTCAAAGAATGCATGCCTTCTGGATTTGTGCCCCTCTGTTTTATTGGTTCTCCTAATATTTCACGTTTTACCGTTTTTTTTAATTTTTTTAAGCTGTGTAAGGTTTGAAGCTTGTGTATCTGAATGTTGTCATTTAACATTTTTTATCAAAACCAACTTAACAGGTACTTTTCCCCACTCTACATATGTTTCCTGGGATTTAAACCAATGATCCTGGAATAGGTAGCATCGTGCTCTAGCAAACGAGCTCTAGACATTTTTAGATTTATTTTCCTAAAATCTTTATATAAGATTGAACTATAAAGCTTTTTTTGGTAAACTTAATTATTTGAAATGCATTTATTTTAGTACACACTGCACTGATTTTTAGTATTATATGTCTGCAGGTTTCACTTTTGTTGCTGCAATTTCTTTGGCTTTCTGTAATATGGGCTTTGCTATGAGTTTACCAACTGTTATTTTTTTGCATAGCTGAATGGTAAACATGCAAACCAAATATTGTTGAAGCTTTCAAGGCTGGTGCACCCGAATCGTGAATGAAAAATGTGAATGGTCTTGTTGCCAGATAGCATCTGTGACAATAAAAGTACAGGTTAATCACCAGTTTGGGCTTATCTCTTTAATGTTCACTTTTATCTCTTCATTTCAGTGACTCAAAATACTTACTCAACCATTATAACTTATATTATAACTCTTCTTGAGAACTTTATTTTAAAAAAATTTTTAAATATAATATTGCTCATACAAACTTTGAAAACTAAAATCAAAAGATGACAAAGGTATAGTGTAACAATCACTCTTTACAGAAAAACCTGTGTGCTCGCCTTATAATATAAAATGAACCACTACCAATCCATTTGTTGACCTTAAAGCTGTTTGCGATAAATGTATATATTATGAAAACGCAAACCCAATTCTTTCTTGTCAGAAATTGCAAATCTTCATTATCTATTATCTTTCTCGTTGATCTTGTGATATTTTATTCGTACATATCGTCGCTGTTATTTGGATCGTAGCCAAATAAACGCGTCATCAAAGGGCGACTATGTTCAGCCGTAAACATCAGGCAGGGGAGTCGGAAAGGCTTGGAAAAACACTCCAGAAATGTAAAATTTTTTTTTACGATTTATCTAGATCACACAGAGTTATATTTTACATGTCCGTTGCTCATGTTCAGCGTATTGTTCTCACGCCATAAAGCAGGCATTAATTATCTACAACCCGCTAAAGGTTGATCATATTAAATCCTATATTTAGAGTTGTAGACATTTAAGACGCTTGCGACATTCAGATGGCTTTTAAACAAGTCTGATTGAATGCAACATGTAGTTAGTATGCAGGATTACAGTGTGATGAGGGAGATCATTTTGTAGCTGCTTTCGGGGCATTCTGGGGAAAGAAAGGTTTGACGATTCTTTACTCTCATATTAATTATTCAACATGCTGATTTGTAGCAATAATCTCTGATGCCGTCCTCTTTTGTGCACAGATGGTGCTGTCTTTGGTGAAGATGTGCGCTCGGGAGGTGGTGAGCGACCACAGCTCTTCGCAGTATTGGTTGAGTTGTGTGCCGCGGGAGCTCTACCGAGCGTTGCTGGACGCCGCCTTCACCCACAGCCGTCCTCTGGCCGTCGGTGTGCTCGTCCAGCGGTGGCCCGAGCGAAAACTGACCGTTGGAGGCAGCAGAAAAGCGGGCGAGTGCCCTCCGAACCGCCTCTGCGTTCAGGCTCTGCTGCTGGCTGTTGTCAGGGGACTGACGGACAAGAGGTACGGATGAGTCTACACGACGCTTTTTATTTTAATGACAAAGTGTGCCATAAAAAAAAGACTACCTCAGTATGTTATACATAGAAATTAATTTCGTCGTCATAGCATGTGACATGTCTCCGACCTTTAAAGATGCGGAGCAGCGTGGATAAATATAGGCAGAAATGTAATTGATGCCCTGCTCCTTTCCCCATACTGGCAGTAAACAAGTTAAAGGTGGGGTAAGCGATTTTGCGAAAACTTAGAAAACTGATACGGGCTGAGTAGCAAAACAAACGTGTAGCCAATCAGCAGTAAGGGGCGTGTCTACTCATGATGTGGAGGAGAGAGCGTTCAGTGCACAGGACGGACATTAGCGAGCCGAGCGACAGAAAGATAGAGATGGCGGATAAAAAACAAAAGAGGAAAATGTCTGCGGAACAAAAGCTTCCAGTTTAAGGCAAGAAGTAGGACCCGTGTAAATATCGGATCAGCTTTCCTGCGCTGGAGAGAACTCAAGGAGCGGAGGCCTGCGATCGGACACCAAGGTTGCTTTGTTTCTTCTCAATAGGTGAGTAACACCCGTGTCTGCACCGCAACAGCTAAAGTCTGTCTAGTACACTGGACGCGACAAAGCGACCGTTGAAAATCATTTGAAATTTGTGTCAATACATCATGAATAGAACGCAGCAGCAGTTTTCTGTCGGGGATTTGTCGTGTCGTGCCGCACCGCATCCAGTGTAGACCATAGATATGTATATATATATCTATGGTGTAGACAGCATCACTGATTATAATGAGTTCTGTAGTATTTTGACGCGCCGCGCCACTCACGTCCGGTGTAGACACGGTGTAACATTGGTTTTGCTTTGTTTACTTATCGTTGCCTGGGTTGTGTATGTATGTGTTTTGGTGATTTCAAAGCGAGTGGCGCTGCGCGACAAAATACTATGGAACTCATTATAATCAGTGATGCTGTCTACACCATAGATATATATACATATCTATATGGTCTACTACACTGGATGCGGCGCGGCACGACACGACAAATCCCTAACAGAAAACTGCTGCTGCGTTCTATTTATGACGTATTGACACACGTCTTCTTTTGTTCCGCAGACGTTTTCCTCTTTTGTTTTTTTTATCCGCCATCTCTATCTTTCTGTCGCTCGGCTCGCTAATATCCGTCCTGTGCACTGAACGCTCTCTCCTCCACATCATGAGTAGACATGCCCCTTACTGCTGATTGGCTACAAGTTTGTTTTGCTACTCGGCCCGAATCAGTTTTCTAAAGCGTTTTGAAAAATCACTTTCCCACCTTTAATGAGGCACACATGGATGACAAATAATATATGAAAATATAGTTGGGAGTGAACAGTGAAGCATGTAATTAAAATACAAAATCATACAAATAAATAAATACAATTTATACAACTGCAATTTAAATTATTCAACCCCCAGAGACTGTAATAATTTACAAATGTTAGCTTTTCTAAATATTTTTTTTTTAAATTGCATCTATATCAGTTAAATTTAAAGTGACAATGTCAATATATAATGTAATGTTTTTGAGTTATGGGATTTTTTGTTTTTTTTTGTATAATTTTTTTTTGTAATACAGCTATATCATAATAATAATAATAATTTTCTTCCCAACCCGACCGTTCCCGCTAAATTTAGATCTCGTTTCCAGAATCTCACATTTAAATTTCCGCTACTGAAAGAAAGAGAGATAGGCTAACAAATAAAAGTGTAGTCTGCACAATTGTATGTTATTTTATTCGTCTTGTCAAGAGTCTTGAATTTATTGACTTTGACTTGAATTTATATGAATTATCTTAAGACACAAAATTAATTTAATATATATTGCAACACAGTAGAAAAAAGTGTCAGATAAAATAAAAATGTACAAAAATTGTATTTCTTATTTTTATTCGTCTTGTCAGGATAAAATTCGTTTAACATTTACAACACAATAGGGAAAAAGTGTGGTAGAGAGAAAAAAATAACTAAAAATGTAGGTTGTACAAAAATAGCCTATTAGCTATTTTTATTCGTCTTGTCAAAATACTAAATTCGTTTGACATTTTTCTGTTAACACAGTAGGAAAAGTGTCGTAGAGAAAAATAAATAAATACATCTGTCATTTAAAATTATAGGCTAAGCAAAATATAAACAAAACCGAGTTGAACATCCTTCACAAAATTAATTTAATATTTTATGCAACACAGTAGGAAAAAAAGTGTCGGAGAAAATAAAAAATTTTATTCGTCTTGTCAGGATACAATTCGTTTAACATTTACAACACAATAGGGAAAAAGTGTGGTAGAGAGAAAAAAATAACTAAAAATGTAGGTTGTACAAAAATAGCCTATTAGCTATTTTTATTCGTCTTGTCAAAATACTAAATTCGTTTGACATTTTTCTGTTAACACAGTAGGAAAAGTGTCGCAGAGAAAAATAAATAATCTGAGAGCTGTCTGACCCTGCATAGACAGCAACGCAACTGAAATGTTCCCAAGTCCAGAAACGTAGCAAGGAGATCTGTAAAATAATCCATGTGACATCAGTGGTTCATCTGCAGTTATATGTGCGCAAAAGAAAAAAAACCCACTTTATTCAACAATTCGTCTCCTCCGCGTCACCCTATAGCGCCATAAACAGCGTATGCTGTTCTGTGTCAGCTGCGTCACACGGATACGCTGTTTTCGTTGAGATCAAATCACAACAACATAGGAAACAGATCCGGCGTGATGCAGCTGACACAGAACAGCATACGTTGTTTACGTCCAGCTGATACTCTCCAAAATGGCGCTACAGGGAGGAGACGAATTGTTGAATAAAGTAGTTTTTTTTTTTTTTCGTATGAAAAGTATTCTCGTAGCTTCGTAAAATTAGGTTGAACCCCTGATGCCACATGGATTATTTTACCGATCTCTTTGCTACGTCTCTGAACTTGGGAACATTTCAGTTGTATTGCTGTCTATGCAGGGTCAGACAGCTCTCAGATTCCATCAAAAATATCTTAATTTGTGTTCCGAAGAAGTTTCATTTTTGGGTGAACTATCCCTTTAAAATCTCATTGAAAATATTTAGGGGAATTTGAAGAAAGCAGTAGCAACTTGAAATCCAAAGATTATCAGTGATCTGGAAGCCTTTTCATGCAAGGAATGGACTAGACATGTGCCGGTATTCGGTATCACGATAATGAATATGCACGATATTGTTATCGTGGGTACTTCAAAATACAGATAATAATTATTTATTACAAATTATTCAGAATTTTGAATGCATTTTAAGAATACTTTTTCCATCAACTGGTTACAAATGCACAACACTGCTCTATGCTGTGTGACAGACGCATGCGCACTCGGATGTAAACAAGCAGGGATGAGAGGCGCATGGCGGAGCGCGTGAGAGACGCTCTGGATGAAAGCACATTCACTCTCTGACAGCAGATGGCGCTGAACAGCAGAAATAATAATAATAA